GGCACTATTTTTAACTTGCGTTTAACTATGCATAATGCATGTAAAATTTGAATTTTTTGATGTAGAATATAATATTATATATACGTACTTTGGATAACACACAAGTAGTAATTATGTTGGCCTAAATATAATAAGCCATATTGTATTATATCGTGTGAAAATAAAATAACGATAAATTGTGTGAAAGGGAGATTATATCTAAGAAACCTGCACGCCTGTTCATTACAATTCCTATTCATACCCTTCGACTTTGACATATTATCTATTTGAGCGTTTAAATGATAGCTAGTTACCTTAAATAATAAGAACATGATAAATGGTACGGTTTAATTATTAATCTTAATAATGCTTCTAAATTCAGTACAAAACTCCCTATTTTGTAAAGGTTTTGCAAGCGTCTAAAAGATTAATATATTCCTCGGGAAGCATACAATGATCTTATTTTCTAGAAACCATATTTCACTGATTTGCTATCGTTTTCGCTGCTATTACATTAACGTTGGTAGAAGATAAGTTACATTTATTATAAGGTGATTTATGAGAAGGGCTTACAATAAACTTGAAAACAAAAATTCAATTAATTACTTAACGATATTGATTTTGGCTTTTAAAAGGTTACAATGTATTATGAAGTAATAAAAAAATGAGACCGGATTTGAAGCAATAATCTGAGCTTGAAAAGTAATGTTTTCAACGACAGACCGGCGCCGGCGCAGACAAAACTGACATTTACATGGGACCTTGCGTTTAACAATTTGCGAACAATACATGCTCTTGTCACACGCATTCCCGGAACCTATCGCTCGAACCCGGACTGACCTCAACGTGGCGGCCTCCAATGCTCAAACATTCTCCATCAAATAAAAGAATTAAAAATCGCACACTGACACCCCCATACGTCTCGTTCATATTAATCAGTGTCATATAAAATTACTTCTTTATTTAATAAGTAGACTGTAGAATGTTAATATTATTCAAGCTTTATTTTATACCAGAGTAATATATGATATTGTAATTTTATCAACTTAGTAGTAACTTAAGAGTACATTTGTTTTGTATATATAATTAAGAATATTTGTAAATTTCTTTATTGTAAATAAAACTGAAGGATTAATAAACAAACACACGCAAAAAAAAACTTAGTAGTGAATGGAATAAAAATGACAGTAGTCATTCAATATCACCATTTCTGTTATTTGATGAATTTGCTTACTTCTTTCTCATAGGTGTTTTATTAAGGTAGTAAAAAAAATCAATTAGACTTATGGTCGCTTTACAAAATCAGTCAAGTGTGAGTCGAACTCGCACATGAAGGGTTACGTACCATCGTACATGTACTTTTTATTAATATGACTTTTACTCTATGTATGTAGTAACTTCGATGATCGATTACGAATATTAAAAAATGATTTTTGTATTTTTTTTTATTTTTTTTTTATCATTTTTTGTTATAGCGGCAATAGAAATAATAAATTTCACCTCTCTACTTATTACGGTTCATGAGTTACAGCCCTCTAACAGACGGACGGACGGACGAACAGACAGACAGTGGAGGTATAGTAATAGGGTTCCGTTGGTTCGTACGGAAGACAAAAACGGTTATATTATAAATGATATACTATTTCAAATCTCTTAAATATAATAACCTTATCGAGTGACTCTATTTTTATGTTAGGTATTCGTAGACCGATTTTTTTTTTTCATTTTAATAAATAATACGACGATTTTTATTCTGATATTTTAATTTTTTTATATAGGTATAAGTTAGAATTTAAAATGTTTAAATCTCTATGATTATAAAATCATAAACTCTTACAAAGGGCACATCTTTCGCACGATTTTCTTAGTTACTATTTGACTTACAAGCTAGTTTAAATGTTAAAGTTATGTTTCATATTGTCATATTGTTTCCAGATATTATATGCCATTACAATAGTCAATCTCTTTTGATTGTAGCGATTTTGTAATACTACATACCTAGTACCTACAGAGCTACTTACTAAATAGTTACTTGTAATCTTAATCTCATAAAAAACATTACATGTAAAAAAATGCAAGTCTCGCAATGCAGTTCTTCTACCGCGAAAAAATTTGAGGTCTAATGAAAAACCAAGTCGGTTAATTTATTCATTACCTATCTATGGAAGCATCTATCAAACAACTTTGTCATAGATTTTTACCCACTTAATTAAGTGAGTAACAACATTTTATAGTGAACGTATCAATATTAGATATCTCTATTTCTTTAATAAATAGAATGACTTAGCCATCGCACACGGCAAATAACAAAATTTACCCAATATAAGCGCATTATATATGTTCGTATATGCGATCCACAAGCGGTATGTTCTATTACGACTAATTAAAATAGTATATTATTATACATACTTATATGATTATGTTTCCGTCCGATGGCCAAGTCATTCTAATTATTATTGATGATAAGACTCTTCATACATTAAATGCTCATAATTCACTAGAGAAAATTAATCAATTTACAGAAATAATCTTTGGAACAGAGTATATTCATTCGATAGTAAACTGAACGCAACAGGTATAATCTAAGCTTATTGCTTTGTAAAGGCTATTATTCCATTGAAAACGTCTTATTGCCTACGGTCATATATTATATATTATAAAGATTATAATTATAACTGTTAAAAATAAATTAAAGTGTCAAAAGAGCAAATTTATTTAATAAAAATGAATACTTTAATCAAACTTGACGACCGCAGCTTAGCGTTTACCGTTAATTAATAAAAAGAACAGAACAAAATTATAGCAATTCTTATGCAATCAAGAATGCTTCACCGTCGACATTTTTAAAGTCTCCTGCATATTATAGTAATTTCATGCGCTTAAGGTTGAAGAAATCTAATATAAAATTTTGTTTTTATCGAAAATTACGTAGGTGTACTTCATTATTCTTCTTATCATCTGTTATTTTTGTTTGGTACCTAAACCATTACCATCTACTTTATACTACTAGTTCTACTTTGGGTTATTTCTTTGTAATTAATTAAAGCTTTCACAGACTATTGTAAAAACATTCACCAACTAGAAAATTTAAACGTATATATTTTGTAATAAAAAGACATTCATCATTTACCGCAAAATTAAAGGGGCACAAAAGCAGTAGACTAAGCCGTAAATGGCAGACGGAATGCGAATGTCAAAATTGCAGCTATTTACAATACATCAAGCTGCGCCGGCAGCTGGCTTGCGGTTCTTTGACAAATGAAGCTGTACTCTTCCTGACCGCGTAATGTATGGTGACTTAGCCTAGTGCTACCGTGTGACCCGGAACGTCAAGTGAGTGATCACGCACTTGAGCTATTACTTGGAAATCGGGATTTTCAATATGAAGGGGCTTCGTTAAAATATTTATGTATGTAATGTGGTTTACTTATCTCAATTCGTCTCTTCAGCAATTACATAATTCAACTTTGCTTACATGAATATTATTTTCAGTATTACCACACAATATTAATGAATAAGAGTTATTTACTAATTTTCTAATACATTAAAAATATATAAAGAACGAATAAAAGAAATAAGTGGCATCACCACATCCGCTATATCGAATGATAACTTTAAAATGGTATACTGGTATTTTCGAACAGCAACATAGACCATACTTTATTCTCGTTGGATTCATAGCCTGGTATGACCTGGGACAGATGAAGGCGCAAGGCCATCGACTTTATTTTCTTTCTAGTTTTCCTAGGCTCAGGCATCATACAGCATCATTTTCATTACTTGGGGTCGCTTCTGAGTTTTCTTGAAGAACAACTCGCAAATTCTTTTGGACATAAGACCTCATGATTTGAAGTAATATTTATTTGGTCTTATATATTATTTAAGTATAGAAGAAGAAGTTTAACTATGAGGTTTTATTTCACTTTTACACAACAGTCGTTTATTGTATTTAAGCAAGGCATTGTTAAGAGATCGAACACTGTAACTGCTGCAGACTTCTTCGAAAATATTATAAAAAATACATAAGAAGTAAGAGTCTCTACAAAATAAAATATTTCGTGCTTAAATTAAAAAGCTTACAAGCTCCTTTGGAATACCTACTTAAAGAAACATATTACATGTAAACATTTAAATCATTCATGGCACATTTATTTACACTATAAGTAACAAAGGAGACAGCTGAATAGCAAATAACTTTTACCTTATTTGCAGAAAATCTTTCTTGAAAAAAGGTGCACTCATAAGATTCAACCTTGAACTCTAAAAATAGGACAAAAATTAATACGAGTAGTGACCAACAAAGGCTGATAACTGATCTGAGTTCGGGCAAGTGGGTGCATTAATACAGAACATAAGCCATTTACATAGTACAGGGGCCACTGAGATGTGGCAGTCAGATATGCGAGGGATTTAAATGAAATAAATGGAACTCTTAATGTAGCTACAACACCCACCACACCCGGAAGGTTTACACTCAGCCCTGTGATACGCAATCTAGCTAGGGAAATGGTAATTATTTCTCGAGCTTTATCGCGCCTTCATAATAAAGTTAATCTGTCACAATGGCACTTTTATTGCGGAATTATTTTTCTTATATTAAGGCGATATAAAAATGAATACTTGACAAGTGGGTGACAGTGAAATATTTTTTTAAATGGAAATTCAATTTAAATAGCACAATATTGTAAAAAAATATTATACAAAATCATATAACTTTGCCAAATGTTTTCGTTACACTTCGTTGCTTACTGGAAACCTTCTAAAGTGTTACTATAATTAGAATGGCGCACAAAAATGTTATATCTGAGTCCGCTCGATACGCTGTCTGCATCGGCACACAAAGTATAGCTGTTGCAAGGAAAACTCAGGTCTCTGAGGGTAATAACGTATATTACTTTCTGCATTTAGACAGGGGTGATCCTGCACATGCGCCTTTGTCGTCATCGATTTTTCTTACTTTGACAGTTCGGCCGATGTTTTGGGCTAACACCCGCGTATCGAAAACAAAGTAAACAAAAAATATGGCTTTAGATTTTTCTGCTACGTATAAGTTATTAGTTTTAGGTGATTCCAATGTCGGAAAAACTTGTATAGTGCATAGATATTGTGATGAGAGATATTACGATATTTACATATCTACTATAGGTAAGTGCTTTATTTATTTTTAATTCTGGACATTTTTGTCATCTGGTTTTTCATTGTTCCGTTATAATTGAATGTTCAGGTTATATTTTAAACTTTCTACGGTAACAAAGAACAAATCCGTTATGCTTATGCCTTCAGTGAATCCCGAGATGCAGCGAACTGCAACATATAAATATTTCTGAATCTACTATGGTTTCCATGTTCACTAATTAATAATAATTCCAATCAAACAATTACTTTATAATTATTTTTATTCAAACAAAACCGTTGTGTTATATTAGTTTAATATTTTTGTTTGATTGGTAAAAAAATAGGCCTAAATCTACCAAAAGAGGTATATTCTTTATATAGTTACCATACAATAACCTCCAAATATTTATGTATTATACGGTTATAAACCATAGACTTACATTGAATATATTATTGTATATTTTTAAATTAAATAGATAGTAAAATACTACATACGTCGTTACTTTTATCAGTCACAGGAACAGTTATTTGTTTGACTATTTCATAGATAACTAACCGTTGTTTAAACAATTTTGCAGGAATAGATTTTAAACAGAAGATAATAAATCTAGATGGAGTGCCCATTAAACTTCAAATATGGGATACGGCCGGTCAGGAGCGATTTAGAACTTTAACTACTGCTTACTATAGGGGTGCTATGGGCATAATACTTATGTATGACATTACTAATTTGGAATCGTTCAACCATTTGTCTTATTGGTTGAGAAACATTCAAGAAGTGAGCCATAATTTTATTTATGTATTTTTATTGTTTTTTTTATATGTAACTGTTTACATTTTAATGACTTAACGAGTTATACCTACATTTAAATTTTATCATAGAACCGAAACGTTCGATGTTAAAGGATAATTTATATTTTATGAACATATTGTTTCCAGTATGCTTCACCGGATGTTATTAAAGTGCTAGTTGGCAATAAGTGCGATGTGCATGAAAACCATCGAGCAGTCCCCAAAGAGAGAGGTCAAAAGGTAATGTCAAAAATTAATAAAAGACACATTTCTTCATTCTTAAATCATCAGATATATTATGAACAATAAAATATTGTATTTGTACATCCACTTTGTTATGTACAGTTCAAATATAGAAACGATATTTGGGTTTGCAGATTGCTGACGATTTCGACATGCCGTTTTTTGAAGTATCTTGTAAAAGCAACATAAATATTGAGGAATCTTTTTTGACTTTAGCCAGAAAAATAAGAGAATATCGAGAGACTAAGGTAATGATTCGTTGTAATCGCGTATTGTTCTAACGATTGTTAATCGTAACAATTATAAAATTACTAGCAGAATCCGCAGATTCGCTCGCGCTAAAACTAAAACAAGCCCTAAAGGTAGGTTTCATAAAAACTTTTATCCCCTATTTTACCCTCTTATGGTATGAATTTTGAAAAATGCTAAAACACGTTACGTACACGTTATTTAATTGTATTGAAAAACATTAATACCAAGTTTCAAGTAATTCTGATCATAAATATTTTCTGGGTTGGGTGTTTTTCCGTTGGAATGAGAAAATCTCACGCGGTAAAAAGCTTATGTCACTCTCCAGCCCTTCAACAATTTCCACACAAAAAATTAGAACAATCCGTCACTCTGTTTCGACGTGAAAGAAGGACAAACAAACAAACAAACACACTTTCACATTTATAATAATAGTATGGAAGTATGGATATTTATAACAATCAAAAAATACATTACTTATACAAAAACCTGTATTGCATAGAAAATTTTTAATCTAAAATTCGACATTAAACCCTACATTACATATACAATGCCTTAGATCACTACAAGTTATTACCTTTTTTTAAATAACTATTGCCTCCATTACAACTTTTCTCTTTAAATACTAATTAGCTTTCAATAAATCCTATATTATTTGGTATAAAAAGGAAGTAACTTATGTCTTGATTTCCTTAACTCGATTAGGTAAAAATGGTAAGCATATGGTATCATAAATCTTGATTTTCCGGCCCTAAAACGGATGTTTAATGTGTGGTCGAACTTTCTGAATGGAATTATGTTACCGGAGAATGTGCGACATCCCAAGTGCCAGTTTGGGCGTGAAATTCGATACCGCGAAAATCCTACATCGTGGGATATCCGTGTATTAATTAATGCACTTAAGTACTACATATTTTTTATATCTAAGAAACAATATTAAATAAAATTTGAAACTAAATTAAATTAATCTATGTGTTGTAAGTATAAATAATCAATTACTTTAGTCTATAGCGATCATTTAAAATATTGTATTTTGTGGAGTTTGCCAGGTTTTTAACATCTTACAGCATCTTAGAACTTTACTTCAAACTTAGGCTTTTAAAGAGAAAAAAAAATAGAATGTTGAAATATAGTTAACCATTTTTATATGCAAATATTAATAAAATTACTGTAAATAAAACCATCTTTTCGGATTTTTTCGCGGATTTATTTCGATTTTTGGTTTTCAACCAAATCTTTGGTGGGGAAACCAAAAATTCGCGTAAATCTAAGGAAATATTATAAAATTATTTTAACTATATTTATTATAAAAAACAATAAATTAAGTATGATCAAATTACAAATATGTTGTACAAATATTGTACCTACAAACTTATCTATTTATTTTCATTTACTCACAATTTTATTAGTTGTATTTAAGTAATAATTTTAAATAATTTCATTTTCAGGCTGATGCATTCGAATTGAAGGAAAGGGACAACGTGATAAAACCATCTGAATCGGAAACAGACGTGTCAAAATGTAGTTGTTAGCCTAATTATATGTAGGTATTACAGCATAGCTTACACTCTACCTATGTAAAGTACAACAGATCTGGATAGGGAATAAACTGTAATTGGTGCGCCATTGAATGTGAAACAGTCTAAACTCTAAATAAATTAGGAGCTATAGAGATTTGTTCTTAGAAATCAATTTCCTAAAACAGAAATGCCACAAAAATTTACTATCTTTTATTAGATTTTATGATATTATCTGGCTAAAAGTAAATTAAACTTTATATTGCAAGTTGCAAGTTTAACATAACTGGATTCGATTTATTAGTTTTTTTCATATCATATCGAACTATGTTTACATTTATATATACATTAGTTTTTTATCCTTCCTCCGTATCTTGATTCTTGAAGTTGCAGATAATTCAAACACTCATTTTAATGGCCCACAGGATCGATACATTTAATTACGAAATATTGAATAAAACTCGATTTTGTAGTAAGAACTTTTGCTAGTAACATTTATGAAAAAAAAACGTGATTTTATAGAAAAATATAAACATACAGTAGATAATTTCATTATTGTAGATGTGATATTCGGACCAGAATTTCGAAATGAATACTCTTTTTTTATAAGAATTAAAAATATACAACAGCGAATATTATTTCTATTCAATCTTATTCTAATAAAAAAAAAACATTTCAATCATCAAACATGCATTTTGGTAAAAGTTACGCCTTTTATTTTTTTAAAGCAAAGTATGTCTCGCAAATAACTTTATTTCATATTTTTATATATATTATTATTATTCCAATTATTATAATTTATTAAATATTTCCCTTTTTTTTAAATAAACTATTTACCAAAATCATATATTGAAACGTTTTGAAATTCTGGTAAATATAGACTGTATGCACGCTTTATGCATATAACTGTGTGCTCTTTGCGTGTGTTCACTGTCGCATTTCTTTAAAATAACTATGGCGGGTAGAGATAAGGAGAACCGTCATATATCGGAAACAAGTTGATAAAGTGTCCAGTGGTGATCAGCAAATTGTAATTCAGAAGCTAACAAATATAGCGCTAGCGTAGTAAGTAGAAATGATATGAATTAGCAGTTTTTAACGGAGTGAAGTGTGCTGAATTTAAAAATTTTATATCTCTACTGACCAGTGCAATTAATAAAACTGCAGTATAAAAAACCTCAACTATTTACGTAGTCCAAAATATTTTTGGTAAATATAACCCGTAAAAATGCTTTTTAGATAACGTAGAAAGAGATTTAATTTTTATAATGCCTTTGATAATATTATTTCGTGTTTTTATAGTTTCTACTGTTGTAAGTTTTAAAATAAAATTGAACAAAAATGGTGAAAGTTTGTTCATTAAAAAGTATTTTAATATTATTAAATAATAATTAGATACTTGAAAATAATATGTGATTATATTCTGTATCGGTGTTTGCCTATGTTAGAATTATTTTGAAAAGTGCGCAACAACAAAGCGGAAATCTTTCTTGCCTTGTTTAATTCACCATCTTACTCTTGTGGCTTTTGGCGCTATGTTTTAAATTCATCTATTTGTTTTCTGTGGCGCCACCAATTTGATGCTTGTCATTTTTTATATACAGAGATAGTCCTTATCTCTACCCTCCATAAAAATAACATTATAAATTAGAGATAGAATTAGACTATGAATACATGTAGAAGGAATTAATCTAATTTGTCATAGCGTTATTGCTGCTCTTAAAAAAAATAAAAAATGTTAAAAATGATTTGATCATCAGCTGTTTTAAATTGAAATTGTAACTAATATCCTAAACGTAAAAAAGTATTCGTCATTGTATTATCATAATAAATAATTACTTTTAAAAATCGACCATAAAGGTAGAATATAAAACTAACAATTGTCAGTTTTAATTAAAAAATATAATAATTATATCGGCTTATGTATATTGCCTTAATATTTGGCTTGACTACGCCTACGACGCATTGCTCACCAAATATATATTAATGTGCAAGGATTAAAGCACACTTAACGAATTTACTCAATAAAGTTTTAAACTTCTTAACTTAGAAGAGTTTGTTACAATATATGGATTGAGTTGCATATAATGTGATAGAATTGGAGTTAAAAATGCGAACAGATATTTTGTAGGAAGTAAATTACTTATGCAGCTTTATTTTATATGAAAAGTGAAAATGAGATGAATATGTTAACTCGGAAATTTTTAAATACCTTATTAAAAAGAAATGACCCCAATAGTATGTAATGATTTTTGTTAGATAAAGCACTATTCACAATGTCATAAAATAAATTCAATTCATCTATTAGGAATCTACCTTAGGGAAAAATCATTAAAAAGTGTATTATCAAAATATTGCTAATATAATAGTTAATTATTTATTATTTAAATAAAAAAGTCAATTCAATTTACAATATTTATTATAGGTCTAATAAGTTAGGTATATTGTATTTCAGTTACCATTAAAATTGATAAATCTCATATACATATTTGTCTATCTCATGAATACTTGTTGACTCCAATATATTACATTATTGTAACATTTTGTGAGGCACAACTGAATTAGATCTATGTATTATTACTAATAAAATTTTATTACAATGTGTTTTTATTTAATTTAAACTCATAATATACATATAACAGTTATTTATTACATTTTATCAAATCTATTAGAAACCTAGCTTTTCCCTGAATCTACATTTTTAGTAATTTATCTAGTTTTTTTTTATTAAAATAAATTTGAAACAAAATATACAAACTATAAAAAAACGATAATTTTATAAAACCCCTTGCATAAAATATGATACCTTAAAAATACTAAATGTAAAATTTATATACTTATATTATTAGTACTTCGAAATTATCAGCTCATTTAGAAAGTTTAAAAACTTAAACTAATACATGCCCACCCTGAACCAAACATTTTTAAATATAAAACCTATTAGAATTTAAAAAAAATATTGCATTTAACATTGGTTCAACTGTTTGGAAATTTTTGGTATGTTAGGCAATTGCCTAGAGCCTAAAACATAGACTGTGTAACTGAAGATTGCCTCGTGGATTGGTGGTTTTTGAAAATCAATCAAATAACTCATGTATGTAGAGGCTAGCGGTAATATATCAAATAAATATAAAATCCATTTTAAAGCTACTACATCAGTCCATTATTGCGGCTATAATTTTTATCTCAATCAAATATTTAACGGTCTTCTTCGTTTTATTGTTGGCAATTCATTTTTAATACGCTCTTGCTTTATTTGTATCAATCTGTTAATTGATGTTTGATTTGATATCACCTCTTGTGACTCTGGTTCACTTTTAATAGGTATATTAGTACCTATGTTGTCTCTGTAAAAAAAATAATATAAATAATATTCATAGCCTATTATAGAATTTTATGTTGTATATTATATAAAACAGTTATACAATATAGCAATGAGGGCCTATCGTTTCTGGTGGCACCAGTTGGCACCACTGGTGAGTAAGGTCCTATCGCCGTCGTTAAAAAGGTTTAGCAGGATTTTGTTTTACATAATTAATATATAATAATCAAATAGATAATATATTTAACAACATGAAACAAAATTTACTTTCATTTATTTTAAAATATATCCGAATATGCATATTACAGTATTACTATATCGAATGTGCATATTACAAGACTTCCGCAATAAACAATAGCATTCCCCAAGGACGTCATGTCATGACATGACATGAGGTAGATGTCAGAGAGATGATGAATCAAATAGATAAAATATTAGCTTTTTCTTAGCTCTCCTTTTAAAGCAATAATATTTGGTGAGCTGTACCGTGTCTGCCATAATTGATCACGAATGGCAAAACTTTTACAATAATCATGAATAATTAGTGAATATCCACGATGAAAAGCCCGCAAACAGTTAACACTCAGTGAGAGTTAACAGTCATTTGACTCTCTAGAGACCTCACTCTACACTAGCGCCTCTCGCGTAGAATTCAAACTCGGTAGCCCTCATTGTGGCTAAACAAGCATTGTAACTTGTAAGTCATTAAAATTATTTATATAGCATTCTAAATAATGTCGTTAAATAATTTCTAATCTTTATATACTTTAATTGACATTTCAATTTTTTAATTATTAAATAAAACTATCTTTTCGGATTATTTCGCGGATTTATTTTGATTTTTGGTTCCCGACGTTTCGAATGCTTTACAGCATCCATGGTCACGGGAGAGACTGAGGTGTTACATGTCTTAAAGATATAGTTGTTACAGACAGCCTACCCACAATTAACAAAATTTTGTTAATTGTGGGTAGGCTGTCTGTAACAACTATATCTTTAAGACATGTAACACCTCAGTCTCTCCCGTGACCATGGATGCTGTAAAGCATTCGAAACGTCGGGAACCAAAAATCAAAATAAATCCGCGAAATAATCCGAAAAGATAGTTTTATTTAATAATGTCAAACATTCGCGTAAATCTAAGAAAGTATTATTTCAATTTTTTAATTTGACTTACCTTATTTAACATATTTGTGTTTATAATATACATATATTTAAAGATTATAAAAATAACATGTGTGTGTACTTATGTACGCACATAAGAAGTTATACTTCTTTGGCATAACAGAACAAAAATAGCTAAAGATTTCATCCCATATGTCACAACGCTCTGTTTCTAAAAAGAATGCATTATGCAGCTAACTTCATGTCGCTTTTCGGCTGTCGGTGTGCGCGCGCATCATAAAAACTTTACTCTTATAATTTTGCCAAACACGCCATAAGAAGTAAAACTTCAAAAACAGAAATGCAAAATCTCAAGTTATTAATAAAATCTCTTTATACAAGTATATAATGGTATACACTTTCCTTCAAAGTTAAAATTATAATATAAAATCAGTTCAACTAACATCTTAGCCACAAAAAGAAAGCAGGCTGGTGGAGCCGAGACTAATTTTGCATTACCAATAAAGTCAAATTTTTGTGGAAATCATAAAACATAACAACTTACATATCATTTTCTTTAGAAACATGTACAACTCTTTGAAGAAGATTGTTTGGTATTTCTTGTACTCCAAAATGTGTATTGTACGCAGAATGTTTTTTCATATGTTCCTCATCATTGTATCGAGGTAATGCAGCTAAAAATAGTAATAGTAGGACTTTAAGTGGAAACATAATTTAGCACTATTATTTTATCTATACAGATAAATAAAATTGAAGCGTCTGTTTGTAATGTCAAAATAACGGCTTTTTACTAAATGCATATGAAATTATATATGGTACTTATAATTAAAAAAAATAACATTTTTATCTGTCTGTTTGTTCTGGCTAATCTCTGAAACTGCTGGACTGATTTTGACGGTATTTTCACTGGCTTAACTTAGCTGAAGCTACTTAGGCTACTTTAATTTTAGAAAAAGAATTAGAGTTCCACTAAAAAAAAGTAAATAGAGATGCATCCAAGCAAAGCGAGGATAAGTCGCTAATATAAACATAAGATAGAAGATGACAAACAAAATTATACTCACTGTATCGAATTTTTCCACCCAGAGATTTATATTCTTCAATTTCCACATCTTTTTTCTTCAATAATGTCCGTAATTCATTTTCACTCGATTTCAAATCATGTATAGTTTTTAAAATTGGTTGCATGACTTCATGAAAGAACTAAAAGTGATATAAATTTATATAAATTAGAGTATGGTTGTTATTTAATAATATTTGTACTGTTATATCATCTGTACATATAATATAATTATAACTGAGCCGAATCTGTACATGAAATATTTTTTGGAAAATCTTATTGAAATAGACATTATTATCGATACAGAGGCTGAATCTATAGTTTTTACAATTTTGTCTGTTTGTCTGTTACCGCATCACGGAAAAGCCATTGGAGGGATTTTAATGAAATTTGGTAAGGTAATAGCTAGTTATCCGGGTCAACATATAGGATACTTTATACAGCAGGAAAATTGTCTCATTTCTGAGAAAAATACAAAAATTGCAATGTAAGAGTATAGTAATATGTAAAACCTAAGAATTTAGTTTTTGGTCATCTGAACGCAGGTGGAGCCGGGGGCAATGCTAGTACCTAAATAAAAATAGTTTTGATATGGAAAAATGTTCTAAGAGACAAATAGGACAATCAATTTAATTTAGTACCTACTTAATAATATATTTTGTCTTGTTATGTATTCTTCTACTTTAGTTATTATATTAATAGTCTGACAAATATGAGTAGGTACTGGTGATATGGCTTAATCTGGTGGTGAACACACATCAGAAATGATGGCTTCATGTCCTAACATTCCTTTTAAGAACAGATTAATATTTCACAGGGATCATTTGATTTACTAGGATAAAAGTAGTTTAAATAAAGCCAAATTTGTCTAGTTAAATAAAAAATACTTACTAATTCTCTAGAACCTTCTTTAAGATGTAGTTTTAGTTTAAAAGGAAATCCATAAAACTTAGTCATAACTACAACAAGACTTGTTCCATCATGTGAAATATTGATCTTTTTCAGATCTTGTGGATGCATTAGCAATTCAATACCCTTTTGAATAAGTTCTTGCGTGCCCATTTCTAATCCAATGTTACTTTCCTGTATATGAAAATAATTTAGATTAATCAAAAGGCAAACATTGAATGTGTATTAAATATTCAGAAAAATATAGACATATTTATAATTTTCTTTTATGGGAACTCGTTAAGACTTATGAGATATACGTTATTTACTCCACTTAACTGTAAAAAATAATAGAAATTATTGTACCGTGAGACATTTTAAGAATTCTTCTTCAGAAAGATAAATTTCCCATATATTAACATAATCTGTTATAAGAATATGGTGTCTTCGTTGCTTCACATAATGTATATAAAAAGAGGGCGAAGACTGCAGTTCATTCCACATAATAATATAAATTATGATTTAATAAATTACGATACCGTGCATTTATTTACATTAAATAAATACAAAAAATTCATTTGTGATATTTTGACTTGAATCACTTGATTAACATCTAATTCAACATGATCTGTAATAAATAATAATATGTTATATAACTTTAAGTGTTTATTGTTTACAAATTACACTTTTGATCCCAGTATATATCTATACTCTTTGCTTTTGACCATGGTGACAAATAAAACTTTTGACCATAGAGTATATTGCTACATATATACTTTTGACCTTACATCATGATCACCATGGATGACAAATAAAACACACAACAAACAAGCAAGACAAGCGAAGACAAGACAAATCACATCTATTGATCTATCACAGAAGTTTGGTCTTGGAGGGTAGAAGTAAGGAGGACCATCTCAGTGTATTAAAAAGTGTCCGTCAAAAGGGAGGAAATTAAGTTGGCGCTATAGTAGCAAATGGAAGACTTTTAAAAAGAGCGCCACAAATTATTAGAGTATGACACTAAATTAAAAAAGGAAAGAAAAATTTCCGCTTTGTTACAGCGCATTTTTAAAATAATTATAATATACAAACATGAATATAGAATAAAATTATACAGTATTTTTAAGTACGCCAATTATTTGTAAATTAAATTATTATTATTTGTAAATTATATAAAATTTTTAAAATAATATTTTATAAAATGATATTATTCGTATTTTATATTAAATTTTTCAACCCAGCACACTTCACTCTGTTTATAACTACTAAATTCTTATCATTTCCATTTCCTACTTCGGTGAGTGTTCGAACAATAATTTGCTGTTTGCAAGTGGACACTTTTTCAACTAATCTCCCATACCAGACGGTCCTCCTTACTTCCACCCTCCATAGACAGAAGACTTCACATTTTACAAAGACACACAGACTACATAGGTAAATAGTGCAAATAGATACCATAAATAAATAAGTAAAGCAGACTATAGACGATAAAGAGATTTTAACTAATAGAAAAAAATGAAGGTGGACCTACCCTACCCCAGCCTGCAAATTTATGATATTTGCAATGAAAAAAATACTAATCGATAGATTTTCAATAGCTCAATTTAACTACGTAGCCCTTTCAAATTGCTCACCTTTAATTATTTAATTAAAAATCAATAAAGTCTTTGAAAAAAAATTAATTTATCTGTATATTCAAACTCCTATATCTTTTGATGTATACAATATTTCAAATTGCTCAAAGTTCTAAAACACTGCTCAAGTTGCATTTGTAATTGCTCAAGTAGAGTTTTTACCAGCTCCACTTTCGCTGATTATTAAATAATTAAATGTTCTTTATGTTATAATATCTGAAGTGGAATCACGTAATGTGAACAATTCATAAATTCAATAAATTTAAAGAAATCCACCGAGAAACAGAATTAAGACGTTGAATTGGAACGATTGTCCAAGCCCGCCGAGGCCGACCGACAATGCGCGGTGCGCATGCGCACGCTCACTTAACCTACGTTACATTTATTACAACTATACTTTTAATTATTTAATAATCAGCGAAAGTGGAGCTGGTAAAAACTCTACTTGAGCAATTACAAATGCAACTTGAGCAGTGTTTTAGAACTTTGAGCAATTTGAAATATTGTATACATCAAAAGATATAGGAGTTTGAATATACAGATAAATTAATTTTTTTTCAAAGACTTTATTGATTTTTAATTAAATAATTAAAGGTGAGCAATTTGAAAGGGCTACGTAGTTAAATTGAGCTATTGAAAATCTATCGATTAGTATTTTTTTCATTGCAAATATCATAAATTTGCAGGCTGGGGTAGGGTAGGTTGAAGGTGGACATAGATTAAGAGATTATGAAAACATATTGCAGAAAAAAAATGTTAAGAATTTATCCAGTACAAGTAACTGTAGTTGCGATGAATAAGCACAATACAACAAACAATTTAAATTATTTTCCTTTCTGGATTTCCCTCCGATCTAAATCTTTTAAACCATGTCAGCGTCATTCACAATTCACATACTTCCACCACTATAGTATTATGATTTCTAATATAGAATAATTGATTTTAATATTTAGTTTGCAATTTACATTATATTTTATGAATAATGTGTCCGTCCACTGTCGAATGTAGGTCTCGTTCATTTAACGCCATATTTATTGCCCTAGGCTCTATCCATCCAGCCAGTGTCAGCCACTCAATGTCATCTGACCATCTTACAGCTATTCGCAGGGCGCCCTACACTGCTCACGAGAAAGAGGTCAATCGATGGAAGCAGCGTTCGGGAAGCTATGCAAGTCGCAATATGTTCTCGTCTCAAATACCGCAGTGTCTCAAGACAAAAGTCTTCAACCAGTGTGCTGCCAGTAATGCAAGAGGGCTATGATCGGGGTTTCCCTGCGAGATCAATCAAGAATGAGAAGAATCAGTTCAATCAAAAAGGTCACATGGCTCCCAGAACGGACGGTTGTTTGGGGCGAAAATTTCTCGAGTAGCGGCCACGGGCTGCAGTTTAGAATATGGGACATTACCCCTGGCGGAGTGGGTGGTATTTCTGGATAGGGGACGTGATAGGGCGTCGAAAAGTTAAATAAAAAATTTTCCGAAAACGTACGAGTAAAAAGTTATTGAGACTTAAAGTTACAACATCTCCATACATTATTTTGACATTACTACCATTTAGACACTTGGAGTCAAAACTGTTCTAACTTAACCTAACCCAGATATGAGGAATAATAAATAAATAATCTTAAATGTTCTAACCTAACCTAACCCAGATATGACGAATAATAAATATATAATCTTAAATGTTCTAACCTAACCTAACCCAGATATGACGAATAATAAATAAATAATTAAAAATATTCACAGATAAAAAATGATTTTTTTTACTAAATGTACAATTGTAAAACAATATATTTTACATAAATCAGATAAAAAATCATAAATGTATTTATGAAACGAAAATAATATTTTTCTTTTTATTTATTTATTTATTAATATTACCAACAGAAAAAGCAAAAATAATCAAATATAATCTGTTGTTATTTAAGCGGTAATATAAAACAAAGTGTCAGTTTTGCTTTTGTCAAAATGTAAGATCATTTTGTTTGTGTTGTGAAATTATTAAAATATTAAATACAATAAAGCATTAATTGTTGTGAAAATATGTCTTGTACATAAAAAAGGATGCGTACTATTCGTTAAAGGTATGTTTATCTGTTGTAATCACTTATTTAGGTAAAGAAATGTATGGAAATGTGTTAGATATGTTATAACTTTAAGTCTCAATAACTTTTTACTCGTACGTTTCCTCCAAATATTTTTAATATATTTTGACTCTCTGTCACCTCCCCTATCTAAAAATACCACCCACTCCGAATGGTGGAAAAGAAATATATGAAAATGTATGGAAATGTTGTAACTTTAAGTCTCAATAACTTTTTACTCGTACGTTTTCGGAAAAATTTTTATTTAACTTTTCGACGCCCTATCACGTCCCCTATCCAGAAATACCACCCACTCCGCCAGGGGTAATGTCCCATATTCTAAACTTGTGCCCGGCCACGTACTGGAAGGCGAAGCGTGGGCAGGTGCACAAGGTTGACCGGTGACTTGGTCAAAGTGTCTGGAGCCCACTGGATCCGGATGGCACAAGACCGGTTGTCGTAAAAATCTTTGCGGGAGACCTATATCCAGCAGTGGACGTGCTTGGGCTGTGATGACTACACTGCCCTTGCCTGGTAGCTGTCTTCATTCCAAAACTTTCATTTGAGGGTTTTTCATTTAAGGGACATTAAATAAATAACGAAAGAAAATATCGATTTAATGCCATTTTTTCGGATATATATTTTTCGTTTAAATAAGTTATAAGAAGTAAGTAGGTACTTTAAATTAATAATATGATCATAGTCTTTATAATATTTATAATACGTATCTAAAATTAATGAAATTTATTTATTTAGTATCAAATTCCTATAAGTACCTACTAATACAGTAAACAACAATGGCTACTATGATACTGCAAAAGTATAAACTGCGTTGCAGATCTACTTCTACGTATCTACTTCTAATATATATTATTATTTATTATGATTATCAAAACTAAATTATTTGTATAATTTTTAAGAATAGGTTATGGATCTACATACAATTTAAAAAAAACCTACGACTTACGAGTATATTAGGTATATATTACAACTAGTATGCATTATTTGGAAATTAGACCGCTAAAATTACATCTATAAAAATTTTTATTTATTTTTGTGGCTTATAGTTCATAATCTGTATTTTTTGTAGGTACTAGGTATATGTATATTGTATATCCCTCTTCGGATTAAATAATAAAATAAGAATTTATAGTCATAGTTGAAATTATTAATATACACATATCTAATACTTTTAAACGAGCAATTCTAGTATATTTATTTATTTATTTATTTATTTATACCGGCGATCTCGGAAACGGCTCTAACGATTATGCTGAAATTTGATATGTGGGAGTTTTCGGGGGGCAAAAAATCGATCTAGATTAGTCTTATGTCTGGGAAAACGAGTGTTTTCGAGTTTTCATGCGGTTTGAATTCCGGGCGGATACAAAGTTTTTACTTTTGTTTTTTTTTTATTTATTCAAGTTTTTTTTTGTTTTTAAGCTAAATTAAAAAGAAAATTGTACTTTTGACAAAAACTCCGAGCGAAGCTCAGTCGCCCAGGTATTTATGATAATGTGATCTAAGAATATTATAAGGATCTTTAATAACATAACTTGAACGATAGTAAATAAAAACTGGTTTCTCCAAACCACTATGAACTGCAAAAATGTAAAAGGGTGAGAAATAAAATATATTATGCCATTTATCAAGTTGTATATATCGTGGGGAGGGAACGAACGACCTCGACATATAATCGCAAACTGTACAGCATTTTGTTAAAAAATTTCCAGGGATTTTGAACAGGTGTTCCTAACTGTTATAGCCTATAACATTACACGCT